GTGACGCAGTTGTTCAGGCCCCACAGGGCGTATGCACAGACACACTTTGACGACATTTGTGTTCACAGTAGCACGGGGGGACGGATGAGTAGAACCACATCATCCATTCAAGAGCGGTGCTCGAGTGCATACACACGAACAAACTGTACGCCCAATGCAGACAAGTGCATCTTTGGCGCAGAAGAGATTTCCTTTTTATGGTGCTTCATTGGGAAGCGTGGCCTTCGAGCGGACCCCGCTAAGGTTAAGGCCATTGTAGACTGGCCGGTTCCAAAGAATCAGAAACACTTGCGTAAGTGGCTTGGGTTCGCCAACTACTTGCATAAGTACAGCGTAAACTACGCAGAAATGGCCCGACCACTATCCAATCTCCTTTAAAAGGATGCGGAATGGTGCTGGAACACCGAACATCGGGAGGCTTTTGACGGGGTCGACGACTGCCTCCAGCATGCACAAATACTGGCGCTACCAGACCCTTATCGTTCTTTCAGCCTCGTCTGTGACGCTTCGGACTTTGCCATCGGCTGTGCACTGCTGCAAGCAGACACCAAGGGGCGCGATCGGGTGATCGCGTTCGAATCTCGACAGCTCAGAGCTGAAGAGAAGAACTATTCAGTTCATGACAAGGAGCTACTTGCGATGAAGTAGGCACTTGTCAACTTCAGGGTCCACCTGCTCGGCTCCAGGCCGTTTGTGATCTATACAGATCATGAGTCACTTCGCACTGCGACTCAGCCGCCCCACCTCTCGCAGAGGATGGCCAGATGGCTATCCGCCTTTGCGAAATATAACTTCGAGGTGAAGTATGAGCCGGGAAAGCAGAATGCTTCGGCTGATGCGTTGTCTCGTAGACCAGACTATGAGCTTGTTCATGTTACAACTGTAACGTCGTCTGTGACGGATTTGATCCTCACCGCGTACGCGGGTGATGGGATGTGTGTAGCTTTGCTACGGGTTATCGGGAGCAAGGAGTTTGGAAACTCGGACAAGAAATAGTTATCAAGATTGCGTGCACGATTGCACCGATGTTCGTTGAGTAACGGCTTGCTACATTATAGCACCGATTCAACGGATAGACCACAAATTGTGGTTCCTCATGATGAGGAGTTGAAATATCGCATCCTCTACGAGGCTCAAGACACGCCACTTGTTGGTCTTCTCGGTCCTGAGAAAACGTGCAACTCTGTGATTCACCACTATAAGTGGCCCAAGCTGTACAAATGGACGAGCACCAATGTGCGCTCTTGTGAAACGTGTCAACGGGTTGGACCCTCTCCAAATGCGGCTGCGCCGCTGGCCAGCTTACCGGTATTCACTGGGTGCTGGCAGTCCATGAGTTTGGACTTTGTGTTTGGCCTGCCGAAAGATTCGGCGGGCAACACGGGTGTCGTGTTATTCGTCGACCGGTTGAGCAAGATGGCTCATTTGGCGGTGGTTCCAGACACCATCGACGGGGTCGGTACAGCAACGCTGTTCGTGGATTGTGTTTTCCGACATCATGGAATCCCAGAGTCGATTGTCTTTGGTAGAGACCCCGTTTCACGGGAAAGTTTTGGTCGT